ATACTGTTTAATACGAATTGAGTAGTAGTATAATACGTTCTCAATGCAAGTCTTTATATTTGAGCGACACTTCATGATCAGGCACAATGTCGCACGGTCGCTGAAGGTCTTGATGACGCGCGCGTACCCAAATATTTGCAACTGAAAAATCATTTAAAAAAAAAACTTTTTCATCCAAATATTAGAAATATTCACTCACTCCATTTAGAACCCTTGAGCACAGGACAGGCAGCATGCCGCGTACGATAATCGGGCTCCTCGGAACGATGCAAATTATACCAGAAAAGCACACTTCCATGCTGCGGCTTCACACGAAGACGAAGGTAGGGAAAAGCTGTGCCACCCCCTTCCTCTACGTCCGATAACTAAATGGAGTGAAAAAATTTTCGCATTACAATTACTCAATACAATAATTTTGTATATTATTATTAATTTAGCGTTGTTTAAACTTACATAAAATATTCCGGTAGCAAGGCGATTTCCTACTGATGGCGAAAATGTGCTGTTATCCTAAAATTAAAGTTTTATTATATTAATTAATTTAAAAAAATGTAAAGAAAGCATGCGCCCCCGGATGTACGAGAGCGGAGAATTGAAGATCAGGACCCTTTTAGTACTTTAATTAGAATTGGGCGAAATTAGGAAAATGAATAATTGAATTAAAAGAATACGAACAAATTTTCGTTCATTATTCAAGTAGTTTCTAATAAAGAATAAATATTTATTCTGCATTTAAGTAATTTGGATTGCCGAATAAATTTTCATTCATCATCATAAAATTTCAAATAGCAAATAAATTTATATTCATCATTCAAGTAATTTCGGATGAATAATAAATTTTTATTCTTATTTGAAATTTAATTATGACGAATGAAAATGTATTCGTCATTCCAAATTACATATATGAATGAAGAATAAAAAATGTATTAACCTAACAAACTATATGGACTAGGGACGGCAACGATTAATCACTTGATTAAATTAGTCGATAATTTTTACCCAATTTAAGATTTAGTTGTATCGTTGTTTTGTGTTTCAATAATCGATTATTATCGTAATAATCGTAAACTTATTTTCGAGAAATATGAATTCTGTATTTGTCTAAAATCCATCCATAAAACATTTTTTTTGCTAGCTGCATCAACTTTACTCCACTCGAGGTTCAAAAAATTTATTTCAAAGATCCGTTAACATTGTCCTGAGTAATGAAGTTATTGCGAACTTAAATAATGTGCGCAGATGACCTTATGAAAACGGGTAGCGAGTCGTCACTACACTGGGGAAATAATGCATAGTAAAAGTGAATACTTTTTATTTGATTATCGTTTAAAAATGTTGGTACTTAAAAAAAATATTTTCATAATAAAATTTAGCACGCACGTATTTGAATGTCCACATTTGAGAATGTACACATATGTAAGTGTACATACCTCTGCAAAAAGTTCAAAACAAAACTAGTATTAGTCGCATGTTCCTTTGCGATTGCTCCCGGAGTCCCCCCGGATTGGTCGCACTTTTTGTAGGGTATGTATACCAAGCATGCAGGTCTGTAGCTGAGTGCGCACAGATGCTTGCCACAATTTGTTGATTTCCAAAGGGTCAGGGTTCGAATTCCATTGCAGACAACATGGAAATTAAATATATTTTTTGTTCATCTTAATTATGAAAAAGCATCCGTGAAGTGCAAAACGAACGCTTCATTTTAATATGGGCGGATTTGAATTCAATATTTACCTCTATACAATATTTCCATTGACGTTTATAGTAAGATCAAATACATTTCTGTTTGATTTTACTATTTTTCCCTCAGTGTAGAATCAGTAGAAAATGAGTTCAATCTTAGGGTCCCTCATAAATCTCTTCTACACAAACGAAGGCGAAAAGATGATGATTTGGGTCCCCCACAAGATGAAATGTGTTTTTATTTAAATTGTCTAGTCCTAAAACTTAAGCGAAATATCATCAACGCTTGGGAGGAAATGAATACTGTTTACCCAAAACTTTACGGACTTACGAAAAAACTGTCATTTCTGTAGTTGGTATCTCGATGCCTGATGAGCGCCTTTATCCAAAAGCTGGTCTTACAGCCACTGAAAAACGCAACCGCTTAACAACAAAACGCTTATCAAAGCTTTTATTTTTGCAAACTTGGTTGAATGATAAAGAATTATGGCGACTACAAATACTCGTTTTATTTTATTCAAGGCTATTAACTGGAGAATTAGAAATTTTTTATGGAAAAGAGTTTTTGTGAATACTCACTTTAAAAACGTGCCTTTAAAAATTCGATTAATCGATTACTTCTCAATAATTGCAATTAATTTTTTTTGGCTTGTGATTAATCATATGATTAATTAATCTATTATCTTATTTTTTTGCCATACCTAATATATACACATTGGGGTCAACTAGTATTCCACGATCGGTGGATGCGACGCAATGAAAACATTTACCCAAGGTAGCCAACAAATGCGCAGCGCCTTTTTGGCGTACAATAGGCAGGATGAGTTTCAGGCTGAACGTTTTGAAGCTGTCAAAAGTTTCAATAGTACATATATCCTATGCCATCTTTATTCCTACAGTTCGTGCAACAAAGCATTCGTACCTTCTTATTCTTCGTAGCTTCTTATACATATTTCCTATGCGTGCAGCGGTATAGGTTTTAGTCCTTCTTAGCATTTGTTTTGAAGGACCGTGTTTTTCTAAAGCTCGTTATCCCAGCAGGGAACACGAGTGCGGCTAAGGGATAGACAAGACGGACGAGCCTTATCCAAACTGACACGAAGGGCGGCTGTTGCATTACTCACCCCCAGACAAAACAACAAATTCTGAAGTTTATAATTTCCCATTGGTGAAAAGGATACATATAGCGACATCACCCAGCCAAAATCTCTATACATCTGATCCGAAAAACGAAAATTTTTAGAAGAAAAGCCTCACCCGGGCCACTATAGCTATATGCAGCTATGCGACACACATTGTATCGAGCTCCTTCTAATAGTGATTAAAGGCCTTACAATAATATAAACAAGGTCCAAACATACTACTGCCTTTACTTACGGTGAAGAAGTCAAAATGCGGTTCATAATGTCCCCCGATGCCATAGTTAGCCACCTGCAAATGCTCAGCATTCGCCATATTCAACCCTGAGAGATCGCCCATGTAACGTTGAATTTTCCGCAAATGTCTACTTTCTTCATATGAAAACCATGCGCTTTTGCTGATACGATAATTGGCGGTCGATGCAGGCGTCCCATTGATATTGCGCACCTGCGAGCGAGACATGCGCGCTTTGGCCAACCGCTTCACAGCGCTAGTGTCGCTTTCTGAAATGACATAGTGTATTTGTACTATTCTCGGATCCAATGAGAGCTCCTCCACCTTAAAAGGTTGCAGTAGGCGATATGGGACTTTATTACTATCAAAGCGGCAGCGCAGATGCCGTTCTTCGGCAGCGGTGAGGTGTAATTCACCACGGCAGACTTGTTCGTAAAGCTTGAAGTCATTGGTAAGCTGAACAACAGAGATTACAAAATTAAAACAAGGGAAGCAATATTAGGCTCCTCTTAGCTCACATGATAATCGCCCGGGGGCGAAACCGTCTCATGCAACAGGCCCGTTTTAACGCCATCGCTAATCATGAGCTGCAAGTGGAGCTTAGTATCGGACATGTGCACGCGTGTCGCGTCAGTGGCCAGTATGTGATCCACTAGCTCCAAGGCCGTTTCGAGATCGCCTGATTTGGAATGTAGTAACTTTAACCATTACTTTGATAGATTCGGCAATTATTCCAGTGCCCATTTCACTTGCATACCCATTTCCAGGTGATAGGCCACCACCGTTTCCAAAAAGTCCAGCGTCCTCGGATCTGGGTTGTATTCTTGCTCCTTGAGCAGTTGAACTGACTGCTTTAACCAAGTGATGGTGTGATTGAAGTCGTTCATCTCAAACAGATGATGTCCAAGAATAAAGCAATCTTGCCAAGTCATTGACGCCCTGTATATGAAGGCCTTAATCCTTTAGTTATTCATAGCACGCCTAACAAAATCACCTACCCGTATTTCATTCCATTTAAAACCCCACCCGCTAAATCACCAACATCCAGTTTGTACGTATCCTGTAGCCGTACTAATGCCGCCGCAGCTCCTTCAATATCCACCGTGGTGGGAAAATCGAATCTTCCCCGATTAGCTTCCATGGTGTTAAGAAAATCTAAAAAAATAATCAAAATAAATACAAAACGATGCAGATTACTTGTGACACTTTGAGATATCAGTCCTTTGGAAATCGTCTAATATGGCATTTTTGGTTTGATGTTTCTTTCACTTTCTCTCTTTCTTCTAAAGAGACTGAAGAAAGTGCCTCCAATAAAGTGCAGATAAAACTGGTTTACCCATCTGAGTGTGATCCTCCCGAACAATGTCCTCAATAGAACGCCAGTCAGTATGTAAGCGCTTAATGAGTCGATATGCATTTACTGGATTGCTGAGGTATCCGTCGACGTCGTCAGCAGCGGTTTGATGTTCGGATCGAATCGAGTCCAATTCACTAAACAAGCGTCAAAAATGTTGAGAGAAATTAATCATTTTTAAAAACTCGGTTTTTGTTAATAATAAATTTCATGTCAGCTTCATTTCGATGTTTTAATTAAAGAATCTGTTCTGTTTCTATACTATCATTAATGTGTAAAACAACATCGTTTGATTTCATTTCGTTTGTTTGTTAAATAAGTGAGACAAACGTTTTTAATAGATTTGTTTATGTATACCAGTATTAATTGACCACTTTCAAAATCAGGTTATTCCCCTCTTTCCCTGTTTTGTTTATGTGTCTTTAGTCGCAAATTAATTTCATAATTGTCGCCATGCCAAAATTTCTACATTCATATGTGGATTTGCGTACAATTTGTTTCCAGTTGATAAAAATTTATTTTTGCTGATACCCGTGTTTTTCTATCCGTACAAAATTATCTTTGTGCTATTCCCGAAAATACTGTTTTTTATTGTTTTTTAATAATTCTGGTTTAATAAGAAACGTTATTTATTTTTTCTGGCATTTCTTGATAAGACATGAAACGGTAAATTGGTCATAAAATATTATTTAACATCGACGCATTAGTCCGAATTTTTTTTTTTTGTAGTATACCCCCAACGTTCTAATAACAAAACAACAGTATGGTAATATGCAAATGAAAGTAAATAATAAGTAATGGAACGAAAATGTAGCTTCGATTCAGCCCATCATAAAAAGAAAAAAAATGTTTGTTCTTCTGACGCCGAAGTTAGATCATGATTCAATAATGAAAGGTTTTGTAAGAAAAAATTTCTCTCGCTCTAATGTTATCTATCAATGACTCTCCCACCCTACTCCAAATTTCCTAGCAAGTTTTAAGAAGATTTTTGAATTTTTAGTAGTGAGAAATGTTTATTCTTCGTTCGCTGGCGACAACAAGACAAAATGGGTGAAAGAATCGTTGGCCTACAGATGTGCATTGTAGGCTGAATCGACGAAATTCCCTTAAATGCCGAAATATATTTGTCGACGACATTCGTGGATACCTATTGAATCTGCCAAGTCGCTGTAAAGTTAAGCGCGCAATGGTTCTGGTAATTCGAGTGAACGAAGGTATTTAGGCAATGATCTACACATCACAATCTTGGTGTCTCAGAATGAGACTTTGATGCAATATAATATTGGCAAACCGTATCCATGGGCTGTCATTTGGCGGTGTTAATCGCGTTCCCGTCGCAATCGTTCATTAGCTGCGTGCCCTTTTCATTCTTCCTGAGTTCGACCTGCGATATCAAACGTAACGGGAATCGAAATTTGATTTTTAGATCGTAGCATTCGATAGCGAGTGTGTTTGGCCCATTTAAATTGTATTGTAGATTCGATTCGAAACGAGTAATCACTCAATGACGAATGCCGTGAATCCGGCCCTGGTTTCAATTAAATAATTAAAGCAACTACTTCCATGCACTATTATGAACAATTTTTGTGGAATTTCGCTACTTTTTGAACGGTTATTGCAATCTTCCCCTTTTCCCTCCTGCTGGGAGTGTAAAATTTTAGAAAAAAAAGCTACTTACAAAACCTTTAATAACTGAATCATGACCTTCGACTTCTATACTGCTTTTCTTTCAAAAACTGAGCAAACGCTTGTGTTTTACAGTTGCATACTAGGGCTCTTGAAATTATTCGAATATTCCAACGTTGGAATGGCAATATACGTTACAATAGTAAGACCTTTCTTTTAAAAACAAGAATTATAGAAATCGGTTAACGTGGTCCAAAGTTATGCGGTAACATATATAAAAAAAAAGAACATATTCCGACGAATTAATAACCTTTCTCCTTTTTGCGAAGTCGGTTCAAAATTAATTGATAAACGCCCAACACTGATTCATATGTATACATATCTACCAGTTATTATTCGAATAATTGACAACGAACATAGTGGCGATTATTCGAATACAGCTAATCGAATTTCACTATTCGAATCATCGATTAATCGAATATCAAGAGCTCTAGTGTATACGTACTGTACTGGTAATAAATTAAAAGTTGTCGTTTTTGCTCCACCGATGCATCATTAGAGCGTCGGAACAGATTATACGAACTTGGTACTTCGTACATGAAAGTATAACATTCTATCCTGGTATCTATCTACCTGAGCAGGAAGATATTGCGCTCCAAAATCATTTAACAGCTAACTAGGAGTTATTATCGTCAATCAACTGATTTGGGGATTGAGCGGGAAAGATTGTTGCAAAGAATTTATGACTGCGACTAAAGGTAACGAATACTTGAACAGCCGGTTGTGTTGTTTAGAAATGTTTACCTAGAATGAGTTCAGGTTAATAAAAACTTTCCAAACAACACCACCCTGTAAGTGTGAAAATATACAAATCATGTGATCCCTGCTTAAGCAGGGCCAAATAACTTGCTATGTGAGATTTCATGGATCAGGCAAGGTAGCCTAACTTACAGGTAAAAGGTGCAACGTTAGCATTACTTACTGTATTTTTTGTTGCCCCCACTTTGTCTGNGTCTGATTATAGGCATGTTTTATTCAACCATTACAAGCAAATAGCTAAATCTTGATCAAATAAAACGAAATAAGCTTATTTCCTAGGTTAGCCTAATTTTGACAGTTGTTTGACTGCAAATAGTGTCAGAGTAAGTTGTTGCCTATTTCTGACTGGCTGACGGAGAAAATTTCTGATGCTGAATGGCAATGCCTCTTGTTCAATATACAAGCCAAGATAGCTTTTCATAAGCCAATATAATTATGTTGGGTAAGTCCTCCATACAAAATAAGCTAATAGCTTAAATTTCTGGACAAATAAAACACGGCTAATGTAAATATAAATGCATATACAAGAATGTTGCCATCTTAGCACTTTTTTACCTACGTATTAATTTTCAAACTTTTGTACTTTACACGTTGGAGGTATAGTCCTCACATTTTCAAATTATGCAGTTCAATCAACTGATTAGAAATGAATACACAGCACCAAATTATTTAGAATCAAACCAGTTATTCTAGTAGAAATTGATATACGGCTTTGATAAAAAGATTCTCCGACAATAGGTTTAATGCCAAATTATTGTGAAAGTCACATATGTACATACATGTACATTAGACTGCATCACTCCCCATATAAAAAAAAAATCGGTACTA